CAGCCAAGTCCTCAGCCTCTATAGGTCTGTCACTTGAAAACAACGGATGCTTCATATCCTGAAATAGTTTCAGGTTCTTGTCCATAGGTCGACTTCCACTGTCGCTGCTCTGATTTTGGGAGGTCTTTATCATCTGAGTCATTGCTTCCATCATTTGGGTAAATGACTCCATAGTGTTATTATCACTATTCCTCTGGGTTCTGCTACTTCTGGCAGTTCCATCCCTTCCTTTACATTAATGCCATCAATGACATTCTGCTCAGGATCCATATTCCTGAGATAAAACACATCAATCAAAAGAAAAAATAATTCATAAAGTTACACTTCTTACACATTCTAAGACTCATTCAATCATCATATAGGCTCTTTTAATGATCATTACTAAACATTTGCTCTGATACCACTCTTGTCATGACTCGGCCTGGCTAGCTCGTAAATAACGAAGCGGGAACATTCGGTCGTACGTAAAACACATATAAAACATAAACAATTTCATTAAAGCTTTAATGTCAAGACATAAACATTATCTAAATATATGAAAGAGCCACTAATGACATCAAATAAAAGTGTTCCAAACTATTTTTTCTCACACAACTACTAAAAATTTTAAATCCACAATTACATAAACTCCAATAAATTGTTTAGACTCAAACTACTGAAACTTAACAGAAAATATAAAAAAAATCTTTCTTTTTGAGGTCCTCTACGATAGTATGTGTACGGTCGTCGTGCAGCCATCACTTCTTAATAATTTCTCCTGAAAAATATTTTCAAACGTTTACTCGCTTAGCAGGTAGTTCATGTCTTAAAATAAAAAATTACATAAAACCAAAATTAAAGCAGCTTTTCGTATTAAAACATAAAAAGATTCTCAAACTTACATAATTTCGTATCATTATATATAAGAAACATTTTTCATAATTTTTCCTCATTGTAAAACCTTTCATTTACTTTTTTCTTAAATATCAATTTTCATTATTTGAAGAAAATATAAAGAAACCAATATTATGCATAATGTCTTTAATATCACCCATCTCGGATGTGCCCATAATTTTGTACTGATCAGGTACACAGTCAAATTTTGGTCATTTCCTTTACCATTGGCTCTACGAGCCTCTTTTACCATTGGCTCTACGAGTCTCCTTTACCATTTGACTCATTCGAGTCCCTTTACCATTTTGGGCACTCCACATTAGCATGCATAATCTTATATTATACTTTCTTTCATTCATGTGCGTATTGAAAAACAAGTGTGAAAATCAAAACTCATTTGTTCAAAGCATAAAAATATTTAATCTAAACATAAAAAATGAAAACATTAATTTAATTTCATGAAATAAAAGACTTGAATATATATTATATTGCCAAAAATGAAAATTCATAATTTGTATAATATGAAATTTTTCAACTTTTTGCATTGAATAATAAAATTAAACATAATTATGAAATTTTTACAAAAAAAACATGAATACCTACATCAAGGACTTCAAAACAGACTTCTACGACGTACGACGTCGTTTCGACACTTGTCGTTCCTCTAAACAATCAATACTTAACATTGCACATAAGATCCAAGTCACATTACATAATACTTAATTTATTTAAATTTAATTAGTGTTTTTGGATTTATTAAAAATCCTATATTTTGAAAACTCTAAATCATGAATTTTGCTCAAATCTTTATTTTAAAATTATTCCTAAGCAATATTTAATATTTTTCTAATTTATTTTCGGATTAATTAAATTAAGAAAATAAAAAAAATGAAATTTTCACTAAAAATCAAAATTTTTGCTTTAAAATCATTCATAAGGTCCTTAGAAACATTTTTTTTAAAGCACTTAATAGAAATTAGGTTTTGGTATAAAAACCTTTTTTTTTTCCAAATTTTTCTCCAAAATCTTTGATTTTACCGTTAAAATGTTCCTCTAATCATTTCTTAAAAGTTTCGTAAAAAGATTTCGAAAGAAAATCAAATTTCTATAAAACCCTAGAGAATTCGTTCTCAAATAACATGAGATTTAGAAGAGGAAATAAAATTCTAAAACATACCTTCTTCTTCCCTTGATCTCCTCTTCGATTTTAAAATTTTCGCCGAAAAACGTCGCTGGAGCCACCCCCGTCGCCCCTATGCCGTTTGCCCGTTCACCCCTCTCTCTCAGTTTCGGCCGATTCAAGCGAAATGGGGGAGAGGGGTTTCGGTTTGCTCATTTAGGGAGAAGAGGGGGTTTGCCAAAAGTCCATTTTACCCTCACTTAAGTAAATTTGGGCTTTTAAATGGTTAGCTGTAAAGACATTATTTTTAATATTTCGAATTTTATAATTCCCAAAATACACATAATTAAATATAGGTTATATATATGAAAACGATCAAAATTTTACGTAGAATTTTATAAAATTATTTTCATCAAATTTTGTTAACTTCGAAAAGTTCACTTAAATTTCATTGCGACGCATCAAAAAGCGTGCAACAACCTAAATGACCTACGATCATCATTTTTTCGGTTTTACAACATATACATTACATATAAGAGGAGACATAAGGTTTGTACTTTCTACAATCATGACATGAGAGATGCATTTGCATTATGTATTCTAAAATATTCATGTAAGAACATGCTAATCCACATATGAAGGTACAAATTGCATTTAAAAGATAAACTAATCACATGAGATTATAAGAATATGATATCTTTCGGAAAGAGAAGGATTTTTCATATTTAAAAGAACTACATTTTACCTACCTCACCGCGGTGTGTGATTTGTCGATTGCCCTATCGAATTATTCCCTTTACACTTTCAATATCTAAAAGAAACATAACACAATGTGTAAATGTCACATGCCTCCACATAAACTTCTCAAACCCCTAGACTATGAGAATAAAAAACTTGCCCATACGTTCTTTTCAAACTTCCTAATTTAACTCTTTCCCAATTCAAACTTAATCTTATTTCTAATTCCTCTAATTTGGGATTTCATCAAAACCTTAACTTTTAGGATTTTGTCCATTACATAACATATGCTTAAGGAAACCTCTCATACACTTAACACTTAAGGAAAGTATAATTAAATTTCAGATTAATCTAAATTAAAATTACAAAAAATAGCATTTTGTGTAAAAACCCAAAATTTCACCTCTAAAACCCTTTCTAAATCCAATTAGAACCATAATACTTAAGGGTTTTCATAATTAGGGAAAAGCCCTAATTTTTAAAACTTGAATTTGCTCATAAAATTAAATTAACTTCCAATAGAGGCTCTCTAATGCTATTAGGAATTATTCTTACAAAGGTATTTTGAAAGAAAAAGAGAATTGAATGAAACCCTAATTTTCAAAACCGAAAATTTTTAGGAAATATCTCATTTTCATGCTTAAAGTCATCTCCTAAACCTTCCCTATCAATTTCCTAAAGAGATTTGAAGTTTTCATTAAACTCTAATTTTCTTTCTCGAAGGAACTCTAAGGGAAACCATGAAAATGCTCTTAGGAACTCACCTTACTCCCATCCAAAGTTCTCCCTTCGATACCCTCCATGAACCGCCGCCGAAAAGCCACCGCCGAAGCCGTCGTGGCCTTGAACCCGTCTCACCTCTCTCCACCTACCTCTCCCTTTCGTTCAGCCAACCGAACCAAAACACAAGGGATCGAAATATTCGGTCCCTTAAGGATTTAAGGTTTGTGGAAAAATTACACATGTGCCCTTTAAGCCTAATAGTTCCCTTAAAAGCTAGGAGGGATATTTAGACATTAGCAAAATAATTTTTATTGAAATTTTCTTCATCCATCTTTAACTTCAAATTCGTGCCAAATTAAGTATAAATTCTTTATACCATATCGATCGAAATTTTGTAGAATCTAACAAAATTAATTGTGTTGTATTCTGACGACTTCAAAATTTCGCCTAATTTAGTCGCGGCGCATTCAAATGCATGCAACGCCGATGATTGATATTTTCGGGTTTTACAATAGCTATCATTTAGGTTGTATTGTTCTTTTTCATCTATAAATCCAATTTGTAGTTTCTTCAAAAACAAGATAGATTAATTAAGTAGTTGAATAGACAATTCTTCCAAATTTGATATTGGGGACTTTGAATGACAACTACTCTTAGCTGCCTCTACATCTTTATCATCAGCATATGACAAACTAATAGCTGTTGGTTGAGACAAACTACTAAAAAGTTATAAGAAATTGTAATCATCTAGCCACTCAAAAACTACTGCACGTAATTCATTATTCCATGTTTGATTGTTAAAGCATATACAAATATTGAATAATACAATCATAAATTAAGTCACTTATTAATTAATGCTTACGCTTGTCAGTGGAGAAAACCATTGAAAAAACTCATCTCCAAAAATATTCACATTGATAGTCGATGACACTTGTTGTTGATCACCATCAATGATTTCAACTGTATTGCATAAAAAAATAAAACAAAATACAAATAACCTTCAACGAAAAAAATAATCGCAGAATAAAACCAGAGTGATGCACGACTAAGTGAAATAAGTCATGCAATTAGAGATTTGTGCCAGGATAACATCAAAAACAGCAAAATAAACTTCATAAAACATTAAGAAAAATTGAACTATTAGATTATGTGATAGCAAGAAACTAACAAGTAAAGGTTAAACAAATAAAAATAGGTGAATCAATTTAGATTAGCTAATATGGGTTGGCACAAGTCCAACATTTAATTAAGGGACTAGTCACTAGAGTTTCTAATTACTCAAATTTAAGTAGGGCTTGGCGGATTAATCAACACATATGAGATGATGCTACTATAGATGAAATGAGAAAACTAATATTTTGTTAGATGAAGAACAAGGGAAGAGTTTGATACTTAGCTCATGAATGGGAGGAATGATGTCCTTGATGAAATCTGGCAAGTTTCTCATTGGCATGCCCTCGAAATCCTTGCTCTTTGTTGAATCAATATCCTTGTTGCATTAAAAGAAGTTAGGTTTCCTTGGAAAGGTAGAATAGTGAGGGGAAAAGAAAGTTTCAGCTATATGATGATTTAGAAGTGGAGAAATCAGCTTAGGAGCTGAAGAGGTTGAATTGGTTGCCTTGGAAAGAGAGAGGGTTGATGTGGCTTGCTTTTGATGGAAAGTAGTTGGCTTGGGAAAGGGAAAAGTTAGCTTGGGAAAGAGAGAGGGCTGATGTGGCTTGTTTCGGAAGTGAAGTAATTTGTTGTGGAAAGGGAAAAGTTATCTTGGGAAAGGGAGTGGACTGATGTGGCTTGCTTGGGAAGGGAAATAGTTGGCTTGGGAAAGGAAAAAGATAGCTTAGGAAAAGGAGAAAATTAAAGTAGATGTGGATCTCCAAAGGTCACAATTAATTGAGATAAATGATCAATTAATGTGAATTAAATGCAGATTTGGGAAGCCCAAGGGGCAAGGGTGTTGGAGAGATGGTGGAGGTGGTTGGAGAGGAAGGGAAGGGGGGTGGCGCTGATTGAGGGCAGCAAATTGCTGCAGCTATGGGAGGTTATTTGGGTGGTTAGGGAAGGAGAAGAAAGAAATAGAAAGGCAAGATGATATCAACCAAGAGCTCACATGCTGTTAGGTATTTCTTTGTCTTTCTCCAAAGGACTTCACACACAATTTCAACTCACCAAGAAAAGAGGAAGCATATAACTAGAAATTTATATCAAATGTTCATCATTCATACACGAGAACAATGGACTATATATATAGGCACCAAAAACATGAAAAGACAAAAGACAAGAAAGCCCTTGATCAAACAAACACAAAAGCTCCCACTTTTTTTTTTTGAAAATTGCAAAATTGCATTAAGGAAATTAGAAAAGAGAGACTATTACAATCTAATCAAACATTGCAAATCTCATATTCCTTCTTCAAAATGTTGAACAAAGAAGAAGAAATATCAGAAGTAGTAAAAGAATCAAAACAAAAATCATTTTTCCAAAGCTATGTTACAATTCCTAGAGGTATGGTGGAAGATTACCTTATTAAAGTCATAGAGTAATGAAATTTTCTCGGAAATCTACTTCTTAGCCGGAGAACTCGTTATAGAATCGTGAAGAAACTTGATGGCATTGTAGTTATCTCCCTCAATTATTAAAACTTTGCTTTCAAACATCCAATCTTTAATGAAATCTTTCAATGTAAAAATAGCATCCAACTCAAGTTGGTTAATGTCCCAATGAAGTTTCTGCTTACCGAAGGCTAGGAGCAATCTTCCCTTGGAATCTCTGACTACCGCCAATGCTAGCTGTGTGAGAATCCAGTAAGGAAGCATCTACATTAATTTTTATCCAATCCGGTGGTAGGGGGTGCCATGAAGCTTCAGACTCTTTAAGGAGAGAGGCATCCCAGTTAACTAGCATTGGATAATTATTTGTAGCAGTGAATAAGATGTTTGCAGCAGTCATTGAAATGGGTAAAATAGAATTGGCGTGTTTGACATCTTTCCGGCAATTCCAAGAACAGAAAATAGTTGTACAATAGATCTTGACTGTATCCAAACTCACTTTAGAAAAATGTCTAAGCTGGAAAAGACAATCAGCCAAAGATGAAAAGTGGAATGTTGAAACCCAAGATCTCAATATACTAATGATATCAATGAGGAATTTGCAATGAACCACAACATGTGCATAATCTTCAACTTCAAGACAACCTCTAGCACAAAGATCACTGTTACAAAGTCTTCTAAATTTCAAAAACTCATTAGTAGGAATGGCAAACCTACTCATCCTCCACCAAAATAATTCAACTTTTGGTTTAAGTTTTAACTTTCGTAACCAATTTGCAAACTTGGAATCATCATAGTGGTTATGAGATTTAATAATTTCAGCATATGCCATGGCTGAAATAGATTTACTAGATAATTGATATAGAAGCTCCATTTGATCTTCCTCCCCTTCGTGAATAACACTATGCTGCACAATGAGATTAACCATGTTTCCATTGAAAAAACGATTGAGCTCCAGCAGATTCCAGTTACCGTCTCTGAGGAGGAAATTCTGTAGCAGCATGCCTTCTAATCCAATACAATCAGTAAGCATGGGCCATTTGTTAAAACATTTGTCCAACAACCAAATATCATTCATGACATTAATACTTTTACCATTCAAAATCTTCCATTTAACAATTGGTTTTAGGAAAGAAGCTCCATCAAGAAGGATAGACCGTGCAGCTATTGTCCACTCTTGGACCCGTCACTCCAAATAGTTGGACCATACCTTGCAGCCATGCATTTGTAAAGTAAGGAAGAAGGATTCTGAGAAAGCCTCCAAGCTAATCTAGCTCTGAGGACTGAGGGGGCCAGATTTTTGAACAGCCGAATACAAGCCCATACCATCTAAAGCTCTTGGTGTACATAACTCCTCCCAAGCAACATAGTGAAGGCCACTATTACTGAAATAAAATAAATAACACCACATAAATCTCTTACGACACATGAAAACTAAAAATATAAAGACTCAATTATGGTTGTAGATCTCATGCCTCTATGGTGATAAACCCTCCAAGCTTTGATGTCCCCATCATAGAGGTTTCCACAACATTATTAGAAGAAATTGATGGTTTTACTGTTACATTTTGTTTCTCTCCAAATTGGGAAGGGTCTAATAAAAAAAAAAAAAAAGAGTATTAGTGATATAAATGATCTTTTTCATGAGATTTTCTGTTATCACTTACGTGGTATTGTTGTTCTCTGTAATTTATCAAAATTAATATCTACAATATATAGAAAACCTTTTGTATTTATTTAAAAGCAATTTGTGCGGTCTTTCCAGCTTCTTGTCCTTATTTTTTCCTGCTAATTTCTTCTCCAAGCCATGCTTTGCCATATTTTCGGATTATTATGGTGAATCTTTGACATGTTAATGTATATTTATGCTCTTTGTACCCTTCAATACATGGAACACTTTGACTGAATTTCTATTGCTCAAAAAACCTAGAGAGGACTTATTACAAGTTTCTTATTTTGATTATATTATGTTGACATTACTGCGTTTCAGTACAAAATCAAATAGAATTTTCTTTACCGAGAAAAGTTATCTTGTTGAACAAATAATTCCTAACATTACAAATTATTTTTATCTAACAAAATAAATAAATCTTGAGAACAAAAAGATCAGAATCATATGAATAGAGGATATTAGGAATATAAGCAAACCTACCATTTATTGTTTCTTCGTCTCCTTGTGGATGTCCAACATTGCTTGATGTTTCTGTCTCTGGATATCGAAGCGCTTTATGGTTGCTCACAGCAGCATGTTTCCTCCCAATGTTTTTTCTCCACAGTATTATGCTGAATCTCTCTACAGGATAATGCAGAATCGATAGCTTGTCGTCACGCTCGTGGTCTTTGGATGTCAAAGTGCATTGTCTCACTCGTAGCAACATAGTGTTCCGTCTCATGTAGAATTATACTGGATCGATAGCCCATCTTCACGCTCGCAGTCTATGTCTGCCTCACCATGTCGTCTTGCTCACAGCAGTAGGTCATCTCGGTTACACCATTCTGTCTCTAGGGAATTATAGTAGGAAGGCGAAGCATTGGATAATAAAAAAGTAGTCTTTTTCCTAAAATACCCACAAAAGAAGTAATTCTTAGCGGCCTATTCTGTTAATTTAAAAGAAAAATTAAATCTGGGGACAAAATTAGACTTTTTTTAATTGTTGAGGAACTTAATTGGGGCAATGTGAAACTATGGGACTAAAGTGGGCATTTATTAATAGTCGGGTGCCTATTTTAAGGGTTTACTCTTTATTTATTGTTAATTTCTTTTAAGCATCCCAAGTAATGTTTCCCACTATGCCAAGAAAAGTATGTATGTCTTCATTTTACCGTGTAGATAAAGGTTTGCATATGTGGCCACCTACATAAGAAATACATGGAATAGCAAAATCTTCCTGCCATGTCAAAAAAGTCATGTGTAAGTACTTAAATATCATGGTGAATTTTTTCTTTGCACCTTTGCGTGACAATGATGACAAAATTGATGGACTATGAGTTTTGTGAGGCAATGACACAACTTTCTCTCTCCCTTTTTTTTGAAAAATTTTATTTTTTAATCTCATTTTGTTTTGTTGATTTTTTCTTTTTTGGTTCTATTTTTGCTTTTTTTTTTGTATGCTATATATAAATATCTATACACATACATTATGCATGTATATATGTGTATAAACTAGACACGTGGTATTCTGCCTGCTATCCGTCATTATCATTGCGTTCAATTGACCCGGCACAACAGTTCTTGATAATTTGGATGCTCTTGGTGCATCAGTAAATCAGCTTCTTGAAACGGGTGACATGATTTTAATTTTTGTGATGCATCTTGAATCCTATTTATATGATATGGTGACTGTTTTATGCCACTTTAATCACGTTTGAATGTACCGTTTGCAGAGCATATATTTTGGTCAAGAAACACCAAAACAATTCTTCTAAATACTCTGCACTTTGAATTCTGAAACATTTTTCCAGCTATATAATTGCAGTTCTCAGCCGTCAAATTTTTTGCTTGAGCATTAGGTAAAATGGCTACTGGTGCTTAATGTGGAACCAGAGCAAACTGCTTCATAATTCATAGTGATCCCCATCTATATTCTAGCACAAGGTATCTTTGGGCATATGTTGTGTTTGTATTATCACTGGTGTTTTGTTTTGGCTTTTGCTAAGCCAAGTTGTCTTGTGTTTGAGAGCTTTGTATAGAAGTAATAATATCAGGGCTACGACTTGTGAGCTTAGCCTTTTAGGTTAAATATTATTTGCCTCTAGAGGATAACACATGGGAATTGATTGAATTGTTGGTTTTCATTTAACTTACCATTATAAATAATGCTTTATGATGCAGAGTCTACTTTTATCTTATTTAAGGTTTGTCCGGATACTATTATGTTAAATATTTATTGCTAGCTCTTTAGCAGAGTATGCGTTTAGCTGCATTTTTCTGCAGTTTGTTTCATTAAGTAATGCTTTCTTACAATTCTCGGAGTTATGACGAAGAGTCTAGTTTTATCATATTTAAGGTTTGTTACGATACTATTTTATTGCCTCTTTATTGCTAGCTCTTAATCTCTTTGATTGCTTCAGTTTGCGAGAGCAGTTATGTGCTTAGCTGAATTTTCCTGCAATTTGTTTCATTATGTAATGTTTTCTTACAACGCTTTTTCTACTTTTAAACTCCTGTTTCAAGTGTTTTTGCTCTCTTTTGCAGTTACGCCATGTGTTCTTGCTTCTTTGTCAATTTATCAATTATATTGAGGTGACCCGTTTGCCTGTGTATTACCCTTCTGATCAAGAGAGGGAGGATCCTAAACTTTATGCTAGTAATGTTCGAAAGTTGATGGCTTCTGAGGTATGAATTTGTTTATGTTTTCCCTTGTTTTAGCTGGCTGCTAGATTTCCTTGTAATAAAGTGAATTGTAATGCAGGGGTAAGTGATAGTGAATATCATCATTTGGTCTGTCTTTGTTTTTTTTTTTTTTGATACTATTTATCATTTTCCAATGAACACTCTTGCAAAGATGATTGGTCTCTTGCTTCTCAGCGACACCAGATAGCAGCTAGATTCTTTATTTTGAAATGATACAATGGACATCAACAATTTAGGAATTTGCACATAATCATAGTAAACTGATGTTGATGTATTCCAAGGTTAAACACCAAGGCAATTAAAAAACTGCATTGCTAAATCAGATGAGAAATTGAGTGTTAAAAGTATACATTTTTAAACATGCTTTTTAATCATTCAAAAGTTGATAGTACTTAATGGGACTTGCGCAGTCATTGAACGGATAAATGATAAAGGTTGATGCAGAAATTAGATGGCAATCACCTGAGAACTGAGAAGTTTTATATTTGCGATGTTGAATCCTTCCCCTAATTAACAAGTGGTAAGTACATAAAGGAAGAAAAATTACACATCAGAAATAGAAAGAAACTACTTCAGCTGAAGTTCTTTGGAAGTACAAAATATGTCACTTGTGATCATGGAAAATAGAACTCCAAATATGAGAGGTTTAAAATACTTCTAGAAAATCTTCGTGTTAGTTATCCTTGTATGCTCTCACTTTTAATCATGAGCATCTTGCATTGTTTTTTGAAAGTATATCAAGGGAGGACAATAGCAATAGTAAGGAAACAGTGAAATTGTTTCCATGGAAGTAAAAATGGTGTTACTTGTAAATCATGCGGTATAATAACTTCGAATTTGGGAGATCAAAATCTTCCTTAGAAGCTATGGTGTTATTCATCCTCATGTGAAATCAATTCCAATCATGAGCATCGTGCATTGCACCAAAGGTTTTGTACTGATTTTTTTTTTCTTTGATGCCTTTAATGATCTTGTTATTCATTTATTTTGGAACTGTTGCTAGGATTTCTAATGCGCTGAAATGAATCGTGAGGTTGAGTTGATGGAATCACCATCAAAATTTCTAGCTTCTGTATTGTATGAAGTAGCCTTATAATACCAGATAGAGGTATAACTGAAAGCCATGTTGAAGCTTCGGAGTTGTTGACTGATGAAATGTTAGATAAAGCGAGTCTTCATTCCAAAAATGGCACCTCTAACACATGGAACTATTGAAGTACTCATGAAGCTTTGAAAATGTCTCATGACAAATGGTAATAACTGAGAAGGGCAAAACAAACTGAAATTTGTGTTTTTCATGCTCAACTATTTTGTCTGATAAGCATGAGTTGTTTTGATGAATTCTGGTATTCATTAATTGGTTGAATTTGTTTTAGATATAGACATGATGTGTTCTTTTTTTTTTTTATAGGTAGAATAGCTGAGTTCTGTGCAAAGATCCGTGTACGTTATGTTTAATCTTTAATATGGAAGAGGCTCGAGAAATCGTAGTATGTTGGATGTCTTTGTTTCATCAGAGGATAATGAAGATAATAAATAATGTCAAATATGGCCATCTACTGAATACAACGTATGAATGCATTTATTTGTTAGAATACACTGCTAGCCAGCTTAGCCACACTATTGGCAATGTATTTCTTTGACGTGGGATAGAATCTGCGTATTACTCTATGGATCATGACTTGAATCTTAATTTCAACACGATCCATACCCTAATTTTAGCTTGGCTTATAGTAGATTTTGTTGTATTCCATTGCTGAACAGGACAATGCTATCATCATCATCTTTTTCTTCATTCTATTAGCTTTATTTCAACTATTTGGGGCTGACTTATGAAGTTTTGTTATTCAATTCTTCTCAAATAATTTTGAACAATTTGTATCCATATTACCTTAGATCTACCTTTTTTTCCCCTAACTTTGTCATTAATTTTATTCCTCAATTAGTGGGTGCATTTTCTAATGAAAATGTTCATATTATTCTTGTCAGAAACATTGGATGAAGCAATGGTTTAACCACAACTTATTTGTTTCTTGCTTTTTTTTTATTTAATTTTCATGTCATTTCTATAATAAAAAACATGCCAATGGTGATGGCAAAAAAGGGATTTAAATTTTTTCTTATGCCTTAGGTTTTTATATGTTAATTGGCATGATTTTCGTTTTGATTCAGTTTAGTTTAATTTTCATAGTAGGTTATGCTAATTTGGAAAAATAAGGTACTATTCACCTTGTACGGATGTAGTTTTGCAGGCTTTTTTCCACCTTTGAACAATGGAATTTGGAACTTTCTTGTATTAGGTCGTGATTTTTGTATTATCTTCATAAGTTTTGAAGGTAGGGCAATCCTTGTGCAGGATCTAATGAGCTATGACTTTTTTGTTGTAACATAAGACTCTTGTGGTAGCTAGGACTTGCAGAGTACTCGCAAATTATGTTTACAGGCTATAGGTTTTCTTTGTATTGTGTAAGCATTTTGATAGACTACTCCAGTCGGACCAACACTTGTGCCAGCCACTAGTTTACAACAGGCGTAAACCTGTTGTTGTCCACCCCTAGTGGGTTCCACCCCTCTCATGTGGGGCCCACTGCTTAAGTAGAGTGAGAGGAAGAGGGATTAGGTGGAATATTTTGAATTAGGAGGATTGTTTAATCTTTTTGGGAGTTAATTTTATGTGCTTTATGTAGGAGGTTGAAATTAGGCTTAGGGTTATCTTGATTATTGCTGATGTTCTGTGTTTCCTTAGTGTTCTTGGGCTCTAGCGGCTTTTAGAGAGTTGGGATAGAAATATCCTCCTCTATAATAGAGAATCAATTGTATCTTGGCATTTTCTTTCTTTTTTTCATCAATTCTTACAATCTAATTAATGTTTTTCCTTAGTTTGATTGGAGATTGGTTTTCATGTTTTGCTGAAATTCAGAATTTTATAAGATTTGCTTGAGGTCCACAAGGGTTTCCTATCAATTTAGTATTAGAGCCACTTTCCAGGCTGTTTTAGCCTATTTTTTGGCTTTTTCTTGCAGCAGTTCTCTCTTCCGGACAATGCTTTTTTACTGTTTTTTGGGACGAAATCCGGACTTTTGAGTCTATCAAAGATCTGGGTATCGATGGCTACCAAGAAGGTGGATGCATTGGAAGAACCTTTGGAGGGGGAGATGGACCAAATGAAAGCAACGATGGATGATAGAATTTTCTCCATGGAAGAACAATTCTTGGACCTACGTGACATGGTGAAGAAGATGTTGGATTTGCACAACCAAGCGGTGGTATCAGAGGCAAGAGGATTGGAGGGAAAAATATGAATTCTGAAATTTTTAGACATGAAAATGATATGGAGATCGTAGAGGGAGAAGGGAGAATACCCACCCTATCTGGAACTATTCTAGAGGGAGGAGAGAGCTGGAAGATGTGGGGAGAGGCGTGGATATATGGGGTATGAGCAAAGGGGTGCTAATTGCGAAAGAATAGAGGAGGATTATAACCGGAGAGGTGCTAATTTTGAAGGAGAGGGGAATTTGAATAAGGGTTTGGGCATGTATGTGGAAGGGAGGATCGGGACACTTGAGGGGTACCACCCACTCGGGGAAGGGGAAACTATCGGGGAATTAGGGAAATGGAGAGGATCCGAATGTCAAGAAGCTGAAGATGCCCATCTTTAAGGGGGAGGATGCACATGGGTGGATTTACAAGGTAGAGAGATATTTTTCCTTCAATGAGTTAATAGAGGAGAAAATGACGGCCACTGGCCTAATGTTTGAAAGGGAAAAGCGTTGGTTTGGTACCAGTGGAGAGATATAAGGCGACCTATACGGAGTTGGAGAGAGTTCAAAGAATGCTTAATGAAACTTTTTTGAACCAGTGGGGAGGGGACTTCTATGAGAAGTTCTTTGCCCTAGTTCAGGAATGCTCAATGGAAGAATATCATGAGAGATTTGAGTACCTGGCGAGTTGATTGGATTGGCTGTTTGAGAGTGTTCTAGAGGAGAATTTCATGAAGGGGCTCAAATCAGAAATCCGAGAAGCAATGAAAGTCATGTGGCCTCAAGATCTAGGGGAGGTGATGAAAGCTAGCTCAGCTGATGGAGGATCAGAAGTACCTTGAGAGAGGAGCCAGTGGCAACAGTTCAGGTGGTTCATACAGAATGACAACCACCTTCTTAGCACTCGAGGGGCCAATACCGAGTAGCATTCATGAGGTTCCCAGGGAGAAGTCGGTAGGAGAAGTAGGGAAATTTTCAAAAAGCTGATTGAGAGGTAGGTGCAGTCATACAGGAGAAGAGGGCAAAGGGATTATGCTTCCGATGTGATGAGAAGTATACTCCGGGGCAAAGGTGCAAGGACAAAACTTTTCAGGTTCTCACCTTCTGTGATTACGAGGAAGCTGAGAAGGGAGGTGAGAGTGAGATCGGGGTAGAGGAGAAGGACAAGTTGCATTCGGATGTGACAGAGGTCTCACTGAACTTAGTGGTAGGATTTACTCCTAGCCATGCCATGATGGTGAAGGGGGAAATAGTAGACCGAGAGGTGACAGTGTTGATCGATAGTGGGGCTACCCACAATTTCATCTTCAACCAGGTCGTGGACCAATTGGGGGTGACTTTGATGATTACAAGGAGCTATGGAGTGATGATAGGCATGGGGAAGGTGGAGACAAGTAAGGGCATCTGTAGGGGAATAGAGTTGACTATACAGGAGATTTAGGTGAGTGAGGATTTTTTCCCATTCGAGTTGACAACACTGTGTCATCTTAAGGATGAAGTGGCTGCAAACCTTGGAGAATATTAAGATTAACTTGGGGGCATTGACCATGTAGCTGGTAGTGGAGGGGAGAAGAGTAGTGATTAAGAGAGATGCAGGGCTATCCAAAGCAATGGTGTCCCTCAAAACTATGGTGAGGAGCTTATAGGATGCGAGGGGAGGATTCCTGGTGGAGTTATAAAGATTATAGGGGATCATATTGGAGGAGGGTGGAACATTCCTCC